TACAAAAGCAATTTGCCTTTAACAGAGATCAACAAGATACTGAAAAACTTGGAAAGCAAGAAACTAATTAAAGCAGTTAAATCTGTGGCAGTGAGTATTTTGTGACCTTTTTAAAAAACAATTTTGAACTTACTGCATGTTTCGTATGCTTTTAACAGGAGACTGGGAGCAGAGAAAGCTCCTTCTGCCTCCAGCTTTGTCTCTTGACTGTGTACCAGTGTTTGACCCTCTGCCTTTAGTGTGCAGGTTTGAGGTGCAACAGATAGGAGGGGCTGTAGTGTTTAAGAAATAATCAACATACTAATATCAAACTGATTACCTGATTGATTAATAAACAGATCACTAATAATATACAGTTCTGTAATCTTCCCACCACTATTCATTGCATACCAATATTATCAAATTGGAGTTTCATTTCCCTCAGTTCTTTATTGCACTCAGCTGTTGTTACAGTCCTGTTACCCTTCACAAACTTCTTGTGCTGCTTGTTGCTAATCTGCAGTTCTGTCACCATTTTCCTGCACTCCCATACCTGGTCTTTAGGCCATAAACTTAGGGAAGAGCTTGGTGGGTTTCCCCCTGCATTCCAAGGGACTTGGGTCAGCAGGTGAGCTTCTCTGCAGGCTGTACACATCCACACTCCTGCTGTTTGTGGATCCTGCCCTCTCTCGTTCTCTGATTTTTATACCTTATTTTCCTCTTTTGATTCTTAACTCCCTTTTCTACCACTCTTTTCTCCATTCTCCAGCCAAAGAAGCAACCTGCCTGTAATTACTTTTTCTCAATTGGTGCCAATGTTGCTGCAGCCCCTTTGACATTTCTGAGACTGAAGCCATCTCAGCCTTTTATCTGGCACTAGTGATGCAGTTACCTAGCTGCTAGTGGCTTTGCAAGATTCCTCTCCCCTGCCTATCCTGAAACTCCCCTCAGTTATCTGGTTCATACTGGATTTGTATTGTTTACATTAAACCACTTCTAAGACATTTGATTCTGTTTCAGACTTGGTTCCTCTCCTTTGTTCCAGTTACTCAAGTACTTGCTGACAAGCAAACAGTCCATGTACCAGAGTGGGTCTCATCCTTTTCCGTGCTTTTTCTCTCCCTGTTACAATGCTCATGCAACATCCTGTTCTCCCTTGCTTGCTTAGCTAGAAATCATTGGTATTAGCATGTTCTTTGGACATTCTCCTGGTTTTCTGGTACCTATCTTGTTGCAGGGTCTGGTAAATGAGATGGAGATAGAGCAGTTTGACACAGAGAAGCAGGAGGTCTTTCATGTTATTGTGAGAGATGCATAGAGGGGATGTAACACTGCTAAAACTGCTTCAGTGGGTGTTGAGTATTCCTTCAGATGACCACTATCCTTTATCTGCCTGCCATTACCAGGACTGGAGCAGTGTTCCCATTCAACTGCATCCCACACCTCAGGGATCCTCCACCCAACTGCATCCCACACCTCAGGGATCCTCCACCCAACTGCATCCCACACCTCAGGGATCCTTCACCCAGCTGCATCCCACACCCACACAGCTGAAAGTTTCTCCATTAAGTTTGTCTTTGCTGTCTTTTAAAGATGCTTTCCTGCCCTCCTTTGAGTATGGAGTGGGGTTAGAGTCAACAGGCTAAATTTAAGCTCCACTTTTCTTTGACAGGCATCCAAGAAGAAGGTCTATATGCTGTATAACCTGCAGCCTGACAGGTCAGTGACTGGTGGTGCTTGGTACAGCGACCAAGATTTTGAGTCTGAATTTGTGGAGGTGTTAAATCAACAGTGTTTTAAATTTCTGCAAAGTAAGGTGAGTGCCAATACTAAAGTCACCTTCCATTTGTTTTGTGTGAGTAATTGTTTTCTTTCTTAAACCAGTGCCTGGCAAGGCTTAAGTTTTCCTAAGTGTTGGCCATTATTACAACTAGCTTGGCAAATCTGTGCTGGACTATTGTTTTGTCACAGCAGGTGTGATAGTGTTGCAATTTAGTAATAGATATGTTTACACCCTGTACAAGGAGTGAAACCTTTGGTCTCTGAGGTCCAGTGACAAGCTAGGCAGCAAAGAACACAGGATCAAAAAGTGTAGCAAAAGTCACTGTGTTTCTTGGAGAGCTCCTCGTTTCTGAGAGTGTCGAAGGCTGCAGTCAGTGGGCTAGCTCTTCTCAGAAGACAATTGTGCCTAGTTTAACTGCAGGAGAAACCTGCTGTTCATTAAATGTGTCTATGCAGATTGCAGCATTTCTCTATTCCATTAAGGTATGTTTTAACTGGCAATAGGTACAGCAGAAACCTTTGTTGTCTGCAAAATGCCAAATGATAGTATTCATTCATGTTAATCTAAACTACAGTGTAAATTTGGTGTCACATTTAATGTAAAATTATGTTTGGTTGTGCACTGCATTATCTCACCTGCATCAGTCTTAAGGACGTGGCTTTCAATGCTAAACATGTCCCAGAAATGGTTTGGAAATCTACTTTTGTGCTTGACTTGGTCTGAAACTGAACACAAAGGAGGCTCTTGGCAGTGAGTACTATAGCTCATCTTTGTTCTTTTCTCAGGCAGAGGCAGCTCGAGAGAGCAAACAGAACCCCATGATACAGAGGAACAGCTCATTCGCCTCTTCCCATGAGGTGTGGAAATACATCTGTGAACTGGGTATCAGTAAGGTCAGAACAGATTCCTCTTAGGACTGTTAGAACTGTCAGGGCATGACTAGCTGTGGGAGTTGTGGATTGCAGATTTAGTGAAGGTCTGGTAAGTGCTTTAGTACCCTACAGTTAGTGTAGTGGAGATGAGCGTTGTGGCTTTATTGCTTATTATTGATACTACATGGGAGTCCAGGAGAGCTTGTACATGTGGGTTTTCAAAGGTGTCTCAAAGGATTAGCATTCACATAGAATCATAGAATTTAGGGTTTGGAATGGACCTTACAGATCATTTAGTCCCAACACTTGCTGCTATGGGCAGGGACACCTCCTCATGAGATCAGGTTGCATAAGGCCTCATCCAGCCTGGTCTTGAACACTGGGGGGCAGCCACCACATCCCTGGGCAACCTGTTCCAATGTCTCAGCACCCTTTTAGTAAAAAAATATTTTCGAATATCTAACCTAAACTTTCCCACCTTCAGTTTGAA